TATATATATAATATGTTTCAGAAACCAGAAAGGCCACCAAAAAGGTTAAAGCCAACATGAAAGGTCGTGGACTCATGCTAGAAAATGACATTTTAATATATCAATTCTTAGACAACTACTAGAGTTGAATTTTAACAGAATTAAATAATTAATACTCAATAATCAGTCTTGTAATCATCGTAATTATGTCTTGATTCAAAGATTAATCGTTGACAATTTGCAACTCCTAGTCCTCGCATCACATTCTCATGTGGATGATGATTGTGATGATGATATTTATGTTGTGTTTGGCAAGTTAGAGAAAATGCAAAATAAAAAAGAATAAGAACATCTATATATTGTATACTCAATTCGAAAGAGACTTAAATGAATGGTCAAAAAATTCGTACATGATGGCCACTTCCTTACCATTAAAAACATTAACGTTATGCAAATTAAGTTTAAAAGTTAGTGGAAAAAAGTTTATAAAAGAAATAAGTAATGTTTTTGTGTACGGTCAAAACCGATTGATTCAGTCGTACGGACTGGTTGAGACAATGATGTTTCGATCAAAGGGTATCTGCATGGCAAGCTCGGTCGAGGTCCGAAGTAAGGGCGTCGAGTTTCGAGCTATAGGACCGATCATTGACAAGCTCGGTCGAGGTCCGAAGTAAGGGCGTCGAGCTTCGAGTTATAGGACCGATCATTGACAAGCTCGGTATCATTATCGAGCTCATATTCAAATCGAACTACGAGGCAAGGCGTAGATTGTCGAAGGTGCCTAGACCAACCAACAATCACCCCGAATATCGATACCCCAAGGCAGAATCGAGCTCGAACCAAGACCGGGGGCTCGATCCAATACCGAGCTCGAGCCAGTATCGAGCTCGGAGACAAGAGCCGTTGCAACCAAACTATGGGAGAGAAACTTGGTAGAAATCAAGAAAGAGATAAATCATCATGGGTCCTCCTTTAAATGTATTATTTTATTATTTTGTTATAGATAAAGCAATGACCCTCTATTATAAAAGGGAGGATCCTTGTAAGCTACGGAGGGGCGAGAAGACTGCAATAAACGGGGCTTCTCTCAAATAAAAAGAGATTGCTTTGTGCTTGTTTTATTTCATCTTATTCAATTTCCATGTTCATCATTTTCTATCCTCGTAGTCAAAATACATGTATTGTTATTTTTGTATCAAAGGATATTACGTATTCTTAGAACCATACATAAATTTAACGTTATCCGATTTTTCGGGTAAACAGTTTGGCGCCCACCGTGGGGCTAAGGATAACAGTGATTGTTTTATATAAATCTACAGTACACACCAGTTTGCAACTTAAAATCAGCAATAGCTTTACCTGTCGACCACGAAGCCGGCCTTCAAGATGAAACCAACAACTTGGCACCCGGGGCCGGAAGGCAAATTAACGATGCCACCGAAGCTCGAGTCGAAGTACCGCTAGATGTCAATTCACAAGTGGCTCTTGGGGAGAACCAACGTTCCGAACCGGAAAAAAGCATTCAGGGCGGTACTCGATCCGTAGCTCGAGACACCCATAATGTGGAGGAGTTCGGAGTCAGCTTACGGATGATCTTCGAGATGTTACAAGCCCAGCAAGTAGCGATAGCTCAGTTGCAGAGCCAAACTCAAGCACAAAGCAGACCGGAGCCCAATCCGCTTCGAGAAATTACCCACAGAACGGAACCAGCCATAGTGAAGTCAAATGAGCAAGAATCGGGGACTGCTCCCAAAATTACTAAAATGCTCGAGGAACTCACAAAACGGGTCGAAACCAACGACAAAAAAGTAGAAACGTATAATTCCAGGGTCGATCAGATCCCAGGAGCTCCACCAATGATAAAAGGTCTAGATTCAAAAAAAATCATTCAAAAGCCTTTTCCCTCGA